GCCGAGAACATAATCTGTCTGGGCCTCGCGGCGAGAGCTTTGCCACGATGTTCCTTGCTTTGTTTTCCCTCTCTTTTTCCCGTTTCCTTTGTCATTTCTTTTCCTCCTTTTTTCGAAATCAGCCGACGTATACCGTAAATCGCTACTTACTTGGCCGGCTTTTTTATTTCGAAAAAGATGCGGCGTCCCTTACGGGCAAGCAATTTTAGCTCTCCGGGATATGCCTCTTCGGGATAAGTGGGGCAAGAAAATTAAAATGTTTGTCGAGGATCGGGAGTTGATATGCCTGATTACTTTTTACAATAGAGTATTTCAAAATCATCTATATATTGAGAATTAATTTTATCGATTAGCGAATCAGTTTTTATCTTAATAAATAATCATCGATCACTTATTAGTAACTTCAAAGCTCTCATTAATATTTTAAAACTTTTTACTATTATTCTTTAACTATTTTTAAGAGGGGAGAATCATCGGCTTATTAATTATAATCCGTAAAAGTATGTATGTATTAATGGATCGATGGTTACTTCGATATTATATGATGGTATTAACAAATTAATACAGATTTAATGACAGATATAAATTCTCTTTGTTCATCCATTATACTTCATTCGTATTTTTTAAAGTTTTAAATATTTGCCGACATATTTAAGCGATTGAAAATCCATGTTCATCCACCTGATTATTCGTTTAGATTTAATTGAAATGAGATTACGATAATTCCATTTAAAACGACTTGAAAAAACAAAAATCGATTTCAACGATATTACCGAAATGTCACGATATGCATTAAATATGTAAATGTTATGCGATACATATCATTATTATAAATTAATATTACTTCAAAGTGCGGGAAATGTTGTTACGTATAATGTTTATAGATAAATTTAATATTTTTGACGACTATCAAATAATGATTTGGAATATAAAAGGACGCACATATGAAATTAATTCAATGAGACTAACAAGATCTGTAATGTTCAACTACCGGCTGCAATTTGATTTATTACATTCACCGTGTATTGACAAATTGTTCTAATTAATAGCGATAAATTAATAAACATGATTCAATATGATAAAAACTAAAGTTCACGTATACTATTCGGTGCAGTATAATAAAATTAAAACTTTTCATATAATTATTCAACATTTCTTACTGAATAGTTACACAAGCATTAATAAAATCAATGTACAATAAAATATTAAAATATATTATTACAAATACAAATTATTAAACCGTGATTTATAATTATTTTCAATTTTTCGGGATCAATGAAAAAATGTACAAACATTAAGATTCTTTAGAACATCCGAGCAGTGACACCATTGGGCGTTACTAAAGAAAGTCAAGGATTTTGAAAAAGCTTAGTTTATGAAGATTAAAAGACTCTTCTAAATATCGAGAAATTAAACAATTTCGAAAGAACTCTTTTATCTTCAATTAAACGAAAAATATATTTTAAATTATAAAGACATGGGTATAAGAAATTTAGTTGGCTTAAAAACATAATCTTTAGAATAAATGCATTTTAAATAATGAAATACGTACTCTGAATGATAAGATTGTTTGGCTTATTGGATTAAATAAGCTAAAAAATATTCTTAAACACACTGTACGAAATATAATTACTGCATATTTGTAGCTCAGCTATTTTTTATAGAAATATGAAAATTAACATTAAAACTGTTTATTCACACAAGTTTAAAATAAAATTTTTATTATTGTTTTGAAAGTAGGACGTACTAGGTACAGATATCCTCGCTTTTCAAGATGATTTCCATCTTATACCTTTAAAGCGTTCTTAAATCGATAACAGTGAAGAGTAAAGGCTAATGCTAAAACCCAATAAATCGTATAACTATAGCTTGAATAATATAAACATGTCACCAGTACAGCAATAAATAATAATTGAGCATCCGAAATGACATTTGAAAGATAACATACGAAAGATTAAGGTTGATTTCTTTAATATGCCTTCTTATAGATATCAAATTGGACAAACGCAGTAATTTCTTTATGCTAAAGTTATTTGAAATTCCCGGGATATGATTAGTTCCTGTGCTATACATAATATATGTACAGGTAATTTTATGCTTCCCTAATTATATTGGAATAAAAGGCTTTTAATAAATTAAAAGAAGTCGGAACAAGTAGTTGCAAGTAATGCATATGTATGTATAATATGTATAGAAATAATAACAATTTTTAACAAAAATTGAATTTATTTTTACAAATTGCATTTAATGAAATCAAATGTAAAATTCGATGATAATTCTTACTTATATATGGCAATTCAAATCACTCACTCAACCCGCAACTTTGTTTTTATAAAAACATTATAAAGGTATAAAATTATTTTGAGCAAATTATTCAATCTTAATGATAATATAATTACAATTACAAGAAATACTGATATTTATTGAATTGAAGAGCATCAATAAGATATGATTTTTCTCTATATTTTCATAGATAATTGACAAACCAAATGCGTTTTTATTGAAGAAATGAAAAAAAAAAAATTAATTCATCATAACCAGGCGCATATATCGTGTACTTCTCTCATGCATACTCAGTTTCAACCACCATCGTGGAAACTTTACTTGATCCATATTTATGAGATTCTTGATAAAGACAAATGCTTTGCGGATTTAAAGTATGTATATAAATACACATACTTACAAATGTATATGGACGGACAAATGGGCATAGTGGTAAGTACGTTCGCATGACTATCGGTACGTATATTAACATATAATAGTAGGAGCTGCACGTATACAAATATATAAATTCGTAGCTGCATATAAATAAACACATGTATAAATTTTCATTATTTATTTTTTATCTGATTATTTTGTCTAGTTCCTCCTCCCCAACCCGCTTCGCGCTATTTTCTCTCCAGTTCCCCTTGTAATCGTTCATTCTATCCCTATTTCTCTTCATCTATCCGATTTTCTGTTCTAGTAATTTTAAAAACTAAATATCGAGTCCAAGATAGTCCTGTACTTTAATAATAATTGTATTATTGAACAATAATTACGAATGATACAAATACAATTTAATATTTTCCATAGAATATTTATAATATTTAATCGAATTAGAACGTTAAGTATGCAAATTTAATGAATAATTAATTGAAATAGACTTCTGTGACTTTTATAAAATTAAGATTGATATAGTTATTTTCCCGGTTGCTTCTTTAATTTTTCTCTCTTCATCTGTCTCTCTCACTCTCTCTCCTTCTGTATATATATATATATATATATATATGTATATACTTCTCTTGTATTATTAAATTACTTAGTGAGCACAAATATCTATAAGTAAAATAATAAAAAAATTTTAATCATTTGTGATTTCAGTATTCAGAATATTTTCCATGCTGTATATAAAAAGAATGAATCGAAAATAACAAAAACGACACACATTCACACACACACTGTACATCTGTATAAAAACTTTTTATTAAAAAGTATAGTTATTTGTTTTGAGTAAAAACATTTTATTTAAAATTAATTAAATAGTTATGTTTGTTTCTTATGTATTAAAAAAAAATATATATATATAATGAATTATTAATTAAATAAATATCTAACTCTTACTTTATATCATATTTGTGAAAAGAAAAAATCTTCAATAAACATTAATGATTAGATTAAAACTTTTTAAGAAACTGTATATGTCTATTGAAATTAAAATTATATATGTGTCAATTAACAATATAAAAATATCTAAAAGTATTTTTAAATAGAATGTAATTAATTTCTAAAGATTGTATAGTATAAATTCTCAATCCCTTTTACCAATGTAAAAGATATTTTACATGGATGCAACCTGCAACATCGTCTGTGGTTTTAATAAATTGTTTTTTTTTCTTTTTGACCTGATGAAAAGGAAAAATTCAATTCAACTTTATTAGTTGTAGATATTGAAAATATGTTACGCTATTATCGTAATTATTACTAGTGAATTAAACCACGTATTTTCATGGAAAAATTATGCATAGAAAAATTTCTTTAAAATTGTATATAGTAAAAAAATGAAATTTTTTTTATCGAATTAATTAAAAATATTTATAAAATGTTTACTCGTGCAGTTAAAAACATATTTATTTTTAAATATTTAAAATAAAATTTTTGTATTACTTTATGGTTAATATGAATTTTTAAATAAATTCTCCAAAAAATCAATTTATTTACAATTTTTATTAAACATTATATGAAATTCAAAAGCTTTTCTAAAGTGGAATCAAATGTTTCATTGCATTATAACATATTCTTTAGTATTTTTATATTCTCTTCATACAAAATTAATAAATACTTCTATATATATTACAAATTCAATTAAAACATTCAATTAAAAAATAATGTTAACAGGTCATAATTGTTATTTGACTATATAATAAACTTTAATTAGTTAAAACGAATCTCGTGTCATTTAACGAAACCAGACAAATAATGTAATTTACAATCATAAAATATATATTTATAACTTTTTAAGTGCAAATTTTTATGTTATTTATCTCTTTCACGCGTTAGAATTATTAATAAAGCGTTTTTTATGCGGAAGAATCTTTTATTGAAAAAGAAATAGCAGAATTTAAATTCTATATATATATATATATATATATATATATATATATATATATATCAAGCTTAATTAATAATATACATTTTTGTATATATACATACATTTCTATGTTAATGTAAATATTGTCTATATTCTGCATTACGAGATCAAAATTGTTAACGTTTCATACACACACACACACACACGCACACACACGTACACAATAATTTATTGTTACAATAAAAAATTTAATTTAAAATAGTCTACGCGTTTACACAAAATATTACAAAATGAAATTCGATTAAAAAATAAATAAATAAAGCAATGTGCGTTTTATGATAAATTAACAAATTAAATTTACTTAACATGCTTGAGGGAGTAACAAAACCATTTAGAGCAAAGCTATCGAGGAACTGACACTGAAACATACCCGTTGGCTCTGAAATCAGAATACAAAAAATATATATTTATATATAATAATCAAGTGGAGCGAAAGTGTTAATCATTAACATTTGATTATTCTTAATAAGAAATATTATAAATAGATAAACATATTTGAATACTAATAATGTGGAATAGGATGTTTGATATGAAGGGGAGATTAAAAAGTGAATGTATAATCATTTCAAATACTTTACGCATTGCATTAAAGAATCACGCACTAATTTTTAATTCAATATTCCGCAGCACATGCCAATCAGAGCAATCCAAGTGATATAATTTAACGCGGATGAAATTGTATCGATACATTCCTGAAAATACGCGAGATCAGAGTCGCTCGTAATTGCAGCGATGCGAACGCGTAGACCCACATACATGGAGTATTTTTGGAGTGTGTCGAAGAGATCAGAAATGATTTCGCAAATGATGCGATGTGGCGATTATTTCGCGAATGTTTGCGAATCAGTCGTTTCTGCCTTTGTACGCGTTGGTTTTCCACCTATACAATGACTGTTGAGTTTGTCAAAGCTCACGCGTCTGAACAACCGTGGGTAGTTTTGAATTGCAATTGTGTATATTTTGCTAAAAGATTAACAAGTGTTTACTCCGATGAAAATTTTTAGGTCAACTATTCTATTTTATGTCAATTTTATCAATGTAGATTTATTTACCGTGTAATTTCAAAACACAATTGTATTCATTGTGTTATATCTAAATCATACATACCAGATTGACGTATACGTAATTCAATAGAAAACTCACAAATTATAAAAATTATAATGTAAAATGTAATTCCATAAAGATGAATAATTAAAATATACGTTTCATGATTTCTAAACGTACAGATAAAAAATTAATCAAATTTTATGAAATACACTACTTTCTGTGTAAACTATAATTCGCATATTAGATTATATAAAAATTTAAGGATATCATCGATTAATATCTACATTTATTTTGAATTTATAATTGAAATATTATAATTAATATAAAGTATTATAATTAATATTATCGATAGAACATTTTACTTTTTCACTTGTTATTTAATAAAAATAAACAGTTGCATAGAGCAATTATTTTAAAGACTTTTCAACGTATTACCATAAATGAGACAAATATATACATTGAAAAATGAATAATTAATAATAAATTAAATTCTACAGAGGCACACTACTACTAATATTTTTAGCTAAATACGATAAGGAACATAATGAATGCATTCTGAATATAATTTTATTCGTTTCTTATTATAGATGCGGAAATACCTCCTTTCTTTTATATATGAAATATGGATCAAACTAAATACAAATACAACTTAAAAATATAATTTAATGAAAATTTCTTTAACATTTTAATAATAAGCATTTATTAATTTTGTTATTTATTAGAATGGAAAAATAAAAAAAGTTTCATATTAAACTTAAAATGTTAGTATTTTTAAACTGCAAAATTATCGATTTCCGATAAAGTTTTAAATATCTTTTTCATCGTTACGCACTTTTTTTGTTTTTATAATTCTTAATTATTGTTTTAAAATTGCTTTTAATAATATGATTAATTTTATGTTATATTAATTAAATTTTATACATTACTGTCTTATTATTTTGTTCTGTACGATTCATTAAATAGCCTTGTTTTTTAATTCGTTACTTTTTTCAAATTAACCTCATTTACTTTCTAATTTTATCTCGTTTCTCTCATGAGCGTCCCTTTTTCGTCTCTAATTCGCTTAGTATTTTTATCTTCGTTTTAATACAGACTCATATCCTTATTATTTATAATTTATGTTTATTTTAAAAATTTACTTTTCAAAATCATTTCATTGTATTCTATAGTTAATTTAAAGTTTGTTTAATAAATTTTCGTGCGAGATATCTATTTAACACAATCTTAGATTTATGAAAAATCTAAATTTTCATTTATTTGTATTCTAAAATTCTTTTGATTAAACTCATAATTTTAGTATGTAAAATCTCGTATGATACAATAGAAGAAGAAAGTTTTTTTTTTATTTGCTGCTTTGGTCGAAATGATATAGTGATTTTAATTTTAATTGTACATAAGTACACGAGTACACTTAAGCCACACTAGTAATATTTTTACACTAATAAGATTAATAAAAAATTTTATCTAATTGCAATCCAACTATCAATATCATCTTCTGTTTTTTAGAAATAAATAGATATATTTTAACATTATGATAATGCTTTTGTCACTTTAATAAGTACGATAAATTATAATTCTTTGTTTCTGACGATAAAAAAACTATATAAATATAATTTTATACTCATTACTATAGATATGTTTTTATACAGTATATTATTTTTATAATAGAGTAAAGTGAACAAATATTACTAAATGTTTATACTAAGTTTCTTAAAGTCTTATATTAAGAAAAATTAATATTCATTTCTTCGATATAATGGTTTTTTCTTTATCATTCACGTGACAAGATTCGTTTCCTTGTTTTAGTATTTCTAATAAACAATTTTTATTAAGAGACTAGATTTATAAATATTTTCATTATTCTACTATTCGTATGTAATAAAAACAGTATATGGCATCATATATGACCTTGATTAAAAGTAGAATTCGAAGTTAGTTTTATTCAATAAATTAAATTTTATTATAAGAAAAAAATTCACCAAGCTAACTATCGAGCAATAATTGGCATTAATAAATTTCTTAAAATGAGTCAGAAGTTAATATTTGTTTAATTAAAAGTGTTTCACAACTTTCTAGCAAATAAGTAACTATTAAAAGCATATTTGTACGCCAGTTATTGAAAAACTAACGAGTAATTTAAAAAAAATTTTACACTTAAAAATATAATAATTTGAATATTGGTAGGATGTTCGATATAGTATATTATGTATTATTTATTAATTTTCATGTTATTACTATGAATGTGAAATATATAAACATATATATATATATATATATATATATATATATATATATATATATGATTTAACGAATAACAGTAAATATTGATGTATTTGATTGGAATTTAACTCGTAATGTAATCGGAAATTACTTCTAGCCATAATTTAGACGCAGACTTGTTCTAAATTGCTCTTTATCGTTCCGTATTCAGTATCGTCGAAAAGTTATTATAATAATCATTGAAATGCTTGTTACAACTGTTTTGGTTGTTCATTGAAAAAAAAAAGAAACAAATGCAGTAAAAATTATTGCATTGATATTGAAGAATAAAAGAAATATTTCGTTTTGTGACATCGTTAACTCTATAATTAACCACAAAAAAATAACAAAGATAAGATCTTAACAGGCAGAAAACCATTACTCGACAATTGTACATTTTTATCGTGATTTTGTTTGATAAATTAACGAAAAATATTCATGGCTTCGTTCCCTCGCTCTTTTTTTCACTCCTCCATTATATTTACCTCCTATCCTCCATTGTCTCACGCCTACCCTCGTATCGGGCACGTTATTCCTTCTTCCTCGATCGCGAGACTGATTTTGTTCTCTTTCCCCCACTCCGCTAACTCGCGCCCAAACCTCATTTAATTGGAGCTCTTCGTTAATGCCACTCCGTGAAATGATTGAGTATTTGCCGTTTCATTTATTTTAATCCAATTGAAAACGATCTATCAGTGCTATATAAATTTGGGCGGCCACGTTTTTTCCTTTGGCTCGCCGTTATGCAGCCGTGGCCCTTTAAACGTTCTATAAACATGGGAAAGTGATTTTTTCATGAGGTGAGAATGTCGATCTTCAATTTGCGTCCTTAATAACTCTGTACTTGGGGTGTAGAGGGGGCTTATGAGAAGGCGAATATGTGCACGGAGGCTTACGAATGTGGGAATATTGGAGAAATATGATCGACAGTTGCTCGCACGTATAAGCAGCACGATGAGGTCGAGCAGACCTTATTGATTGTGAAGTGCCGATGAACTGCTGGTTTTGAATTGGAATACAGTTAGACTTCAAGTTTGGGAATTATTGCGTTCGACGCAAATTACTAATAGCTTGCATTCGTTATACTTCGATCGACGATATTGCAATTTTTGTTTTGTTTAATGTAATAATATTAATACCATAATTTATGATTTATAATATTGATAATTACAAAATATCTATTGATTAATTTTTTCTAACTGGACTAATACTGGAGATAAGCGATATTAAGATTTCCTTCGATGAAAGTTTATGCTTTTTCAATAAATACATTACATTATTACATTAACTAAATTTTATTAGAAATAATTCAATTATATAACGAGTTAATTCATATATTAGAAACGGCCATAACTTGCAACCAGTTTATAAAATACTTTTACGAATTTTATATTATAATTTGGTGTAAATAATTGAAATATAAAATTTCAATGGAAATATGAGAAAGCGTTTACTACGGATGTACTTATGTTCACATAATAAAAATGGTTGTCTATTTAATGTTTTAATACCGCTAAATCCAGCTCTGAGGTTCATTAAAACTTTGTTTAATTGCAATCCTTACAAAACAAACATTCATTAAATCATAGATAACTGTAAATAATTTATTTTTATTTCAAACGCTATCTAAATAGGTCTTTCTATTTTAATGCAAATATTCAACATCTTTTGCACACGCTCACTAAGCATCAATTACATATTATTACATAATGGCATTAAGCACATTTTTAGACCAGTGTCTATTCCAATTATGTGTCCATTTATTTGATGAACTTCCGGTTTGATAAGTTTATTTAAATAAATGAATGAACTATCCTTTTTTATTGTTTATAAAATATATTATAGATGAATTCATTATTTAATTATATTTGTTCTAATTTCAGCTTTATTTTACATTTAAATGTTACAAAAGCATTTGAATAAACTTAACTGAACAAATATGTGGTTGAAATAGATTGATAGGAAGCTAAAATTCATCGAGTTTTCAAATAGTTCAAAACTATAAATCGTCAAAGGGACATTTAACAATGACTTGATTCTACATCTCTCTCTCTCTCTCTCTCTCTCTCTCTC